ACGTCAACCATACTAGAGGGCACCAGAGCTGGCGTTTGAGCAGCGACAGAGTTGCGAAAAGCCCGGAGCCTCCGGGACTCGTTTCCAGTCCTGGCGCGGGAGCAAGGGCAGCCGGGCCTGGAGGGACCAGCCCAGCAGCAGCCCCCCGCAAGCTGCCCCCGAGCCGCCGCTGCAAGGCAAGGGAAGGTCTCGCCGCTCCTTTGCAAGCACAAGTCACTGCAACATGACCGTGCTCTAACCAAGCAAAGATCAGGTACCGGGATGCAAAAACAAGCCCAATGAGCGGCACGCTCATGCACCACCCTCAGTGTATGCAGAAGGCGTTGAACTGGGAGCAGGGAAATCATAAAAATGATCATGAAAAATGATCAGAGCATCACATCCAGCAGAAAAAAATAGTGATTTCTCCAGCAGGTCCAGCGCAGCTCCCCTTCCACTGCCACGTGATGTGGCCGGCATCCAGCCGGCGCTGGGGTCACTGCTTTAACCAAATCCCTGCTGGCAGGAAGGATGTGACCCCATGAAGGTGCTGTCACAGCCACTGCCAGGCAGACCCGCAGCTCCAGCTCGCTCGCCTCCCAGCGCCTTTCCGGATATGCCAGGCAGCTGGCAGCCCTCAGCACTGTGACCACCCTGGTGCCCCGAGACCATCTCAGGGAGCGAAGCACAGTTCGCAGCCTGAGCGCTAGCCCAGGAGGTGCTGGCTGCCGTAATGCGCCAGCCCTGTGCCCAAAGCGGGGGCCCCGTCCCCTCCCCGGCCGTCCCGGCGCCAAGTTGCTGCTCCCTCATTCTCAGCTGCAGCCCCTTGCTCAGGAGGGATGGTCCCTCTCCACCTGCTGCGGCCTCTTTCTCAGGAGGGATGGGGTCTCCTCACCTGCTGCGGCCCCTTTCACAGGAGGGACGGTCTCCCCTCATCTGCTGCAGCCCCTTTTCAGGAGGGATGGTCCCTCCTCGACCGCCCCAGCCCCTTTCTGAAGACCGATGGTGTCTTCTCACCTGCTGCAGCCCCTTGCTTAGGTGGGACGGTCCCCCCTCACCCACCGCAGTCCCTTTCTCAGGAGAGATGGGGTCTCCTTGCCTGTCGTGGCCCCTTTCTCAGGAGGGATGGTCTCCCCTCGCTTGTCACGGCCTCTTTCTCAGGACGGACTGGGTCCCCTTGCCTGCTTTCTTCCCCCCAGCCCCGCTCCCCCCTCACCCCCTCTCCTTGCAGTCCTTGCTCAGGCTCTTCCACCCCGTCTCTAGTCTCAGCCCCACCTGCTTCCCGGCCCTC